ATATATATATATATATATATATATATATATATATATATATATACTATTTTTTATATTAATATATCAAAACAATTTAAAATTCATTTTTAATTCATCTACTTCTTAGATTGCATTAGGCATCTTTTAGACATTTCATCTTTTGCAATTTCAATTCCAAAATTAAGTTTTTATTTTTTTCGTATTAATATGATGGGATTATATCCGACAAATCACATCCAAATTAATATTCATAGTTTTTAACTTGCATCTTAACAATTTTCTTTCGATGGTATTAAACCGTAATTAGATGGGTTCATTACCAGCTAAGATTACTGTCGTTGCTCTTGCACCGCATATGCGAGAGTCGCGAACTAGTTTGGAGTAAAAGTGGAAATAAAAGTTGGGAAAGGCTGGGAAAGCAACGGGGAGGAGGAGATAAAATGTCTGTGCTTTTAAAGCAAATAAATGATATATATATATAAAGTTTAAAATGATATTTCCCTTTATTACACAATAGTTTAAATGACAAATTTACTTTTCAAACAAAACAAAACAAAACCGTCATATGTAACTTTACTTATTTTCATAAATTATTTTTCCATAATTATATGATAAGGTATGATCTCATAGTTAACTTGATTCACATTAACACAACCATTTTTTTTAATCTATGATATATAGTTTTACATATACAACTTAGCATATGATGGGCTGAGATTTGTTAGGCCGATAAGTGGCCTAACCGAAGCTGAGAGGAGAAGGGCAGGCCAGGCAACTCTCCGACAAGCCCAGCAGAATCCTTACTGTCCTAACCGAAGTTAGTGGGGTGAAGACGACGGGAGAGAGGGAGAAGAAAAGGAGGAAGAGAATAAGTGGCCGGACTGTGGCCCAAACAAACCTCTCTCACATCGTAGCCCAACCTTATGTCAAGGAGGCAGAAAGAGGAAGGAGTCAGTCTAACCAGGGGGCCTAGCTGAAGTGAGGACGAGAGGAACCAAAATGAAAAAAACAAAAATAAGTAATGAGGGGACCGTCGGCCCAACCGAACAGTAGAGCCCATCCAAACCCAAAACAAAATTAAAATGAAAAACTCCTAGCTCTCATAAAACTAAGAGCCTTTTATTCATGTTCTAAAAATATTTTTTAAAAAATATTTTTTTATTTTAAATTATTTTTTATTTTTTAAAATTGTATTGATATATTAATATCAAAAATAAATTTTAAAAAATAAAAAAAATTATTTTAATATATTTCTAAATAAAAAATATTTTTAAAAATAATATCTATCATGCTATCAACATGATCTGAAAAAAAAAAAAATTGCAAGCTTGTCTAAATTTTAAAGTGACACATCTAAAAGAGCAAGTCATCCTATTTTGGGTTTATTTAGAAATGTAGTTATGGTTATTTTTCAAATAATTTTTTGTATCAAAATATATACTAATAATTTTTTTTATTTTTTAAAAATTATTTTTGACATTATTACATTAAAATTATTTAAAAACACTAAAAATATATTAATTTAAAATTAATAAAAAATAAAAAAAAATAAATTTTTTAAAAACCTTTTTAAAACACAGAAATAAACATACAAAAAACTACAAGCATAGTAATATTATTCATTGAACTTGTCCCTGTAAATTACTAGCTATGAAGAGTCCAAATCCATGGAGTTTTTTCAGACTTCATCAACATCTAATTATTAGACACACCTTGATCTCCATTGTTTCTAAGGTTCAGATGATCGTTTTTTAAAATTTAACAATACATTAATTATACGTCTTACGGCTGCTTAACTATTTGAAAGTGCTTGACTCCTGACGTGCGTCTCTCACAGCACCGAGGCCATGCAGGCATACTCCGGGTGTCAAATTGGAGGATCAACAGTGATCTTTTAGCTCGCGACCCCCAAGAGCGAGAGAAAAATAATTTTTAAATAACTTGTTTTCAACTTTTCATGTTTTTAGCATGCAGAAAGGACTACCTTATCAATTGATGTTTTGGTCACCGAAATGTAACAGGAACGATGGAAGCCAACTTGGGCTTGGATAATTTTTTACTGAAAAAAACTTAAGTGTGAACTCATCGGTCAATACCTTTTTTGGGTATTTTTTTTTCTTTTAATGGTTCTTTTAATTAACATGTTATTAAAATAAGAAATTACAAGGAATCAATGTTTCATTGTGCTATACTAGAGTTTTCATCGCATTTGCACAATGAAACTTCCTTCTTTTTTTTTGTCCCTCAATTTATTTTTATTTTAAGTTAGTCATTTAACATTACATTTCTCTTAGATTTGCTGTAGTTATTTGTTTTTGTATTTACATTTGAGAGCCTCATGGCATCGAAAGAATATTTTGTAGCTGGGTTGATACTCAATTTGACAAAATAAGATTTAGTTTTTGAATTCTTTTTTATTACCAATTTTAACTTAAAGAATGAGAGAGAGAGTTTGATAGATTATGTCCACAATTTTTTTTTCTCACTTGTATTTTATTAATTAAAGAAATCCATGGGGCATCAATCAAACACTATAGCCTAATACACAATTTACTGTAGATTAGAATAATATTTTTACTAATTTACCTCTCATTTAAAATTTTTTGGGCAAGGATATCATTACTATTTTTATAGGACGCATTCATCATTGTCAAATTGGTTGGGATAGATTGGTCTTTATATTTCTTTATAATGCAATTACTTATTTAACCTTGAGAGCAAAAAAATAACCTAATATGTGGGGGCTTTTTAGTATTTTCCTAGCACAATTAAATTATTTTATTGCCTATTGACTAAAAATAGGCTTGGGATTAAGGGTGTTTATATCTTTTTATCGTAGTTTTTCTATCATGTTATATTAGAGGCAAGATTAATTATTAAAAAAAATAAAGCTGGCATGCTAACAATGTTTTCCAAATCGAATGATGCGTGCGCCATCATTTGAATATCGAACACTGGCTTTCAAGGTTGCAACTGAATTGTCTCGGCAATCCCTCTATTCTTAGATGGAGTGTGTGATTTAAGTGTCATCTGTTTGGCACCGATAACTCTATTTTTTTTCTTCTTTTTCTTTCTCAATTTTGGTGATAGCGCTCTAAATTTTTAGAAAAGTCTCTTTTTTTTCCTTTCAATTTGGTCCTTCTTTTATTCTATTTGTTCTATTTAGAATAAATTATCAAATTTGAATCTCTATGCAATTTCATCCCCTTTTAATTTTTTTTAGCTATTAGATTTGGTTCCTATTCTTTTGATTGCTATTTTTTTGAGATGGTTTTAAAACTGATTTTTTTTTACAATTTCATCCCCCTATATTTTTTTAATCAAATTTGATCCTTATTTTTCTTGCTATTTTTTTCCTTGGAAATATGTTAAACTTGATATATATATTTTAAATTCATCCCTCAATATTAAATTGGTTAGGCATTGAGTTTCTTGATTAAACCTAAATTTAGAATTTAATGAGTTATAGGTTAAGGAAATTAGCTCGGGTTTCAAAGGTATACACAAGTTTTTTTTTTTAAGCTTATTTTTTTTCCAACTTAGTCATATTTTTAAGCTCATTCTTATATAAAGATCACATGATTTATTGTTTTAAAAGTTGGACTAGCTTAACAGGTCGATTCAGATCCTTTTTCATTCAATGTTTATTTGATTAGATATAAGGCCCTCTTTTTTTTCTTTCTTTTTTTACTTTCGATGATAATTTCTATTGATTTTGAACATGACAGGTTATTACAAGTTTTTTTTTGTTCTTTATTAAATTAATTTGTTTTAAAAGGAATTATTTTTATTAAACTAAATTAATTGATTGAATATAGACATTAGATATCCGCTTCAAAGTATTTTGTTTGGCTTGCTTCTTAGGTTATTGTTCTAATGACACTAACAATCTCTTTTAATCACTTGGACCAGCTTGATGGGTTAATCAAGACCTTTTTTTATTTAAATTTTATTTAATTGAATATTGAATTGTATTTTTTTGTTTTTTATGACATTTTACAGTAATTTTTAAAATAACATGGGTTATCTCAAATTTTTTTTCTATTCTTTATTGATCTTAGTTTTTTTAAAAGAATTTTTTAAATTAATTAATTAATTAATTAAATATAAGTATTTGATACTCGTTTTATATATCTTATTTGGTTTGCTTTCAGGGTCGATTATTAAATGGTGCTTGCGGTTCCTTTAAATTTCCTAGATCTCATATTATTCTTTATTCTTTATAAATGTTAGTGTCACTTGAACATTCTTCTTTTGCGCTATGAAAAAATTTGGTCCATCCTAGAACATGGCCCGGGCCATCTAGCCAGTTCATATTAGTTTTGATTTTTATTTAAATTTATGTTTTTCCATGTTTATTAGTTTTTATTTAAATGTCAAGAATGAAATAATGCTATTAATCCAAGAGCAGGATTCAGAATCCAAGGCTCTAGGCCCAGACCTAATGTAACATACAAGCTGGTTATGTTGAGCCATTAGCGCGTGCAAGTGACAACCCCAACAGAAGCTTTCAAACTTAAAAATCCTTCAAAGAAAACTCTTAACAAGGCCCATGCTGGTTATGTTACAACAATCATGACTTCAATGAACATGAGAAGTTGAGGCATACAACATTTTAAAAAAAACTTTTACATATTATATGCATATATAATTATTTATAAAATAATTTTTAGTATTACCATAAATAACTTTAATATTATTTAAAAAATACGACATGATTTTATAATTTTTTAAATATCATTTTATTAATTTTATTTTAAAAAAATTTAATTCTAAAAAAAAATGAAAGCCATTAGAAAAGGGGTTCTAAGACCTAGAAGGATGAGCTAGTGCAATACAAAGGGAGTCTTTTTTTTTTTTTTTTTAACGAGTGACCTAGGAAAATAATGTGTGGGTTACAAGAAAAATCCAATGATTAGGAAATACGAGTCTTAATTTTAAAGTAGAAATCTCAATGATTTTATTTTTAATTTTAAAATACTATTTAAATATTTAAAAAATAAAAAATTAAATTAAAAAAATATTTTTAAAATTTGATATACTTTTTTCTAGCAGTGTTAAAGGTCAAAATGACCTACATTACACTCCCCTCTGAAAAATGGACTCATTAAAACAAAAATTGGTCTTTTTTCCAAATCACAAAGACTAAAATATAATAAAAATAAATTTTAAGGTTGAAATAAAAAAAACACTAAAACTACAAGGACTAAGTAAATTAAAAATTAAAAAAATAACAAAGGACTAAAAATTATTTTTTAATAAAAATTAGGCCAAAATAAAGAACTACAAGGACTAAACATAAGAAAAAAAAGAAGAGATCCCATCCTATTTTAGTATAGACTAGGTACCATCAAATGCTCTTAATCTCACGTTAATTAGAATTTAATGATCTAGAGTTGTTTGTTTAATGTAATAATCTATTTTTGGATCCATGCATAAAAAGAAAAAAAATAAAACAAATAACATACAAAAAAATAAAAAAATATTATAAAAAATATAATAGTGAAAAAAAAAGAATGCCAAAATGTCTAGAAAATGGTAAAAAATTGGATAGGGAGGTTTAAAAATACAAAGATTGAAATTTGATAGTATTTTATTGATTAATGAAAGCCCTGTTGATAAAAAAATTAATTTGAGGAAGAAAAGTCCAGGATCAGATATTTATGAACTCAATTAAATTTTATTGAAAGTTTAATTGAATTTATGGAGGTTTTGATTACAAAAAAAATTGATTTTGGAGTTAATTTGGGTTTTAATTGGAAGAAATTAAAGTTCTGGGATCAAATTATAATTTTTGAGAATTAATTTGGTCAAATCAGGGCTTTAATTGCATAAATATTGAAGTTTGATGGCCAATTAGGGACTTAATTGAAGAAATCTGAGACTAAGAACCAAAATGAAAAAGGCGCATAAATAGAGGGGTTGTAATTAAACCGGATTAGGGGCTAAAATTAAAAAAATTAGAAATTTATTGCTCAATTTAGGGTCAAATTGCACTAATATGAGACCAAGGACCAAAGTGAAAAAGGCAGCCAAATTTAGGGCTGCTGTTTGATTTTTGGCAGGGATGCAATTGCATTGATTTTTTTAATTAAAATTATAATTGAGGACTCAATTGAAAAAATTACATGTTAAGGACCACTATAAACTTTAACACATTTTGTCGTCCTTTTCTTTTACATGAAACGACGCGTTTTGACCAGAACGGTGCTGTTTTATGCACTGTTTACATAAAAAAGGCTCGAAACAATGCTGTTTTGAAGACACTATATGTCTTTTTCTTCCCCTGGACATGCGAAGCAGGGGAAGAAGAAGATTTTTTTTTCCCTTCCGCTGTTACTACCATCAATCCTTCCAAAAAGCCGCCGACTCTTTTCAAAAAGATGCCGACCACTTTCCACATGTTGAAGGGGTAGTGGAGGAGTGGTAGCATAGTGGTCAACCCAGTCACATCCCTCCTTTATTTTTGCCTATAAAAATAGAGGGGCAGAATAGGAGGAACAAAAAAGAAAAAAAGAGGAGCAGATGAGAGGAGAAGAGAAGAGAGAGAGCACGAACGGGGAGGGGGAAGAAAAACAAAAATGAGAAGAAAAAAATAGAGAAGAAGGAAGAAGAAAAAAATAGGGGAAAAAACTGCCACCACATCGCTAGCCACCGCAAACAGCCATCGCCACTACTAGTGCCGCTGCTTGTGGCCTCTAGCAGCTCTGCTAACGACAACAACACCGCATGTTAGCCTTTCTCCCCTTCTGTTTTTTGCCTTCCTTCACCCCTGCCACTATTCACGTAGCATGTGAACAATAGAGGGCACTATTCACATAAGCTGGGCTAAGCCCAACCCATGTATTTGGGCCTGATCCGACCCATTTTAATTTTTTTCAGAATTTTATAATTTTTCTGGGTAGTATTTATGTCATTTTGATTAATATCGAGCAGTGTTTTTATGTCATAAAAATACAAATCCAATAATAAAATACTTGATTTTTGTTAAAACTTTCAAAAATACAAAACAATTTGAAATTTTTTTTTTCATACGACCAAGTGTCTCGAAGCTAAAAAATCATATTTTTTTCATACTACAAAAAAAAAATATTTTAGTATGCATTTTGGCTTTAACAACTATTTTATTAAAGTGAAGAGAACATTGGCTAAAATTTCAAAAACAACAAAAAATTTATTTTGTTTTGTTTTGTTTTAGTATTAGGGATTATGAATTTATATGTAATATGTATTCTAGATATTAAATTCTTTTTTTTTTCCAGACTCTAGAACAGTTATGTTCTACTTTATTAAGATAAGAACCTCCTTATTAAGGAGAGCTTTCCTTGAACCTTAGATAGACCGACAATTAAAAAATACAATACGATCTTAGATTTTATCAGAATGTAAAACAATACAACTTATCTTAGATAGGGTGTAGTTAGAGTGCTAATACTTTTCCTTTACGCAACTAGTTTTCGTACCCGATCTTTGAAACCAGTCAGGGTTTCTAATGATCAAAATAATAGATGGCGACTATCAGTCCATATGTTACTAATAAGAAGCAAGAATTCCATGTCCCTCTATATTTTGCCAGAATAGACTATACATCTGTCTATTACATATAATTTTTTAAGGTGGACGATCACCGCGATGCTGCACACATGCGACTCTCAATCCATATATTTGTGATTTTGAAAGATTAACCTAGATCTAGAAGATTCATTTGGGTTTTCTTTATTTTTCATATTATTAAATTATGATTTTTTATATATTATTAAATTAACTAAACTTATTAAAACTAATCAATTCAGTGACTCGAGTCTCATATTTTTTTTACTGCTTTTGAAATCCTAGCATCACTTGAACATTTTTCTTCTTGTGTTCAGGAAAATTATATGTAATAGACAGATGTATAGTCTATTCTGACAAAATATGGAGGGACAATGAATTTTTGTTTCTTATCATTTAACTAATTGATTGAATCCGGGTCTTAAATAAAATAAAAAATAATATTTAATCAATCTAAAAAAAATTTAATTTAATATTAAAGGATAAAATAAAAAAATCAATCTAAAAAAATTTTAAAATAAAAAAATTGCAAAAATAAAATAAAATGAGAATCAAGCTTGATAGAAACAAAAGGAGTATGAAATTGCTAAAAATATTTTTTTAGAAATCATCTATTAAAAAATAGCAAATAAAAGAATGAGAACAAATCTAAGAGATGAAAAAAAATTAAAGGAGGATGAAATTGAATATGATTTCCAATTTGGAATAGTTTTTCAAACAAAAAATTACAATTAAAAGAACATGGATTAAATTTGAAGAGAAAAAAATTGAAGTGCTATTGTGATTTTTTGGAGGAAAGTGCACAAATCATGGTGGATGCAAGGAAAAAAGAGGAAAAAATTGAATAAACACCTAATCAAATGGGATCATCATGCACGCACTGGTAAGAGAGGTTGACCCTACCTAGATGAATCGAAAAATACCAAGGAGAAATAATTTTTCTACTGTGAATTGCCACCTACATCACCTAAATATGGCATGATGGGTTACATGTTGGTGTGTGCAATGTATGTACCAATAATTTTTTAAAATTATTATTGATATTAATACAATCCACCATTTTCTTTTAATATTTTATGTCATTTGATTTTTTTAATTTCCAATTCAATCCATTCACATTAAGTTAATTTGAGATTGAGTTTGATATTTTATTTTAGTTGGCTTTATATGAGACTCTTGCAATATTAAAAATATATATTTTTTTGATCTAAATCCTAGTATTTAGAAGTTCATTGGACCTTAACAAATCAAGTCAAGCCAGGTTGGCTACTAAAAGATAAAATAGGTAAAGTTCTCTTAGTGATAGTGCAATCCATTCACAAGGCTTGAACTTGAGATCTTGTTTAAGAGAAACAAGCACAGAATCACTTGAATCAACTATTATTGGTTTAAGAATATAATTAATATTTAATTTAATAAAATAAAATTTAATTTAATTTATTCAAATCAATTAAAACTTCAAGCATCTAGTTTCAAACTTAAATAAATGCTTCGTCCCTTTCCCTCCTAAAACATAACATATTTAGTTAAGCTTTCTAACTCAATCGTTAGGTGGTGATGGAGTGCATACAAGAACACTTTTAATGTTGACTTTTTCATGACTATATGCTAATACATGAGTAATTAAGTCTAGAAGTTTTAATGATCTACATGGGAGCTAAAAATAATAAAGTTCAAGGGGAGAAGCTAGTCAAAGACATTGTGGAGTTGAAGTCGTCTCGAATTGGAAAGACTCCACAATTATTATATCTATCATAGCTCCCTCATCCAACATTATATTAAGGCGATTCAAGAAGCCTCACACGTTTTCCATCTAAAAATCGGCCCGCAATCCATGTGAGGAAGGGTCCAAGGATTTATAAGCTTTTTATGATAGCTGCTGGGTTTTTTCCCTGTGTTTTTAGGGTTTTATAAGGAAGACGATGTCTTAAAAGTAGAGAGAAGAGTAAACACACAATTTTTTTTTTAAATTATTATTGATATTAATACAATCCACCATGTTTTTTTTAATGTTTTATGACTTGAAGGATCTAGTTTCAAACTTAGATAAATGCTACGTCCCTTTCCCTCCTAAAACGTAACATATTTAGTTAAGCTTTCTGACTCAATCGTTAGTTGGTGATGGAGAGCATACAAGAACACTTTTAATGTTGATTTTTCATGACTATATGCTACTACATGAGTAATTAAGTCTAGAAGTTTTAATGATGTTTTTTCTCATTCGATAGTTAATCTATATGGCAACCTATCTTAGCTGTATTTCACATGATCTATATGGGAGATAAAAATAATAAAGTTCAAGGGGAGAAGACTAGTCAAAGACATTGTGGAGTTGAAGTCGTCTCGAATTGGGAAGACTCTCCACAATTATCATATCTATCATATCTCCCTCGTCCACCATTATATTAAGGCGATTCAAGAAGCCTCACACGTTTTCCATCTAAAAAACGGCCCGCAATCTAGACTAAAAAACCGGCAGTAGTCCTTGACAAATTCCTTTCCATGTGAGGAAGGGTCCAAGGATTTATTAGCTTTATGATAGCTGCTGGGGTTTTTAGGGTTTTGTAAGGAAGGCGATGTCTTAGAAGTAGAGAGAAGAATAAACACGGTTTCTTTAAGGAGTTAATTGATTGGAAACGAAAGGCTTTAAGGAGGCGGTAGCCTTAAGGGACCAAATTCTTCAAGGAGCCACATTCTTTTAAACGCATCAAATACAATGATATTCAGGATTATCATGTAGCCTGATTATGATTATGCAGATATTTTTGTTATTGGATTAATTCAACATTTATTGAGTATCTCTTTCTTAATTTATTGCTTGTGAATGGTTGACTATCATTTGCGTAATTGAGGAATTAATTATTCAGTCTATAGTTGAGATATTTTAAGAAATCTTCAAAAGTTTCTTGAAAAGTTTTATCACTTTTCATAGGGATATTTTCGTAATTGACACAGATATTTATGGTTTTGTGTAATCTTCAAAAGTTTTATCGCTTTCAATAAATTTTGGCAGATTTAACATTTTCATAGGGATGCATAAAATTTTCTTGCTAGGATATTTTATTAAGAGAAAGATTAATAAACAAATTAGAGTAACTTGATTATCAACAACAAGATTAATAAATAAATTAGAGGAACTTGATTATCAACAACAAGAAATAAATTTGAAAAAATTAATTAGAAATTTCACATATGAATAATTATGGTGAATTGAAAATCCTAGGATATTGTTATCTTGAGTTTGACATACCTATTAGATTATAATTTAATTAATTTTTGGTACTTGCTGATTATTTGACCAAGTTATTGCACCTGCACATGGCAGAATAATTCCAGTTCCCCGGTTATTGCAGCTGCACATGGTCACATAATTTTGTCTCCACGACATATTTTTGGCAAGCAAAGTCGGCATTTTCATGTTTATTAACAGACAGGTAATGTCCTACCAAGCATTTCAAGGGCTGGGAAATTAAGCTGTCTGGACCAAGTTTTTCATGAACAATTTTCTCAAGGAAATGCCTTGGACCATGACGTGAAGGGAACATGGCCGTTCACCGTCCAGGATACACAGGAGCAGGCATCCATTAGAATTAATAGAATGTGACAAATTAAGAGGTGTCTCAAGCCACATTCGCAACAGCCACCGAAAGGGTCCTGCTTTTTGTTTGTATATTATCATCATCTAGGTAGGGCTGTCATTAGTTGCGCAGCAAAAATACAAGAGAGTTCAAAAGCGAACTTGGAAACAAAGACTCCTAACAAGTGATCAAACTTGCAGCAAAGAAGGTTATCTGAAGCGTAACAAGTAAACTAGGAGGCAGTCCCTGTGCATTATAAAGCAGCTTGCGCACTGAAATCATCTACACTTGTTCATCATGGGATCCATTGGCAACCAATTTCTTCTCTTGGTGGACTTTTCCGGGACCAATCTCTAAGGAATGAGTAGGGATGGGCTTCTTGGCCTCGCCCTTGTTGTTACGGTAGATGAAGTACAATATCAGCTGCAATGCCCCCAGACCACAGCCAACTCCATTTGGGACCTGTAATATGGGGTAGCATAAGCATATTTTCCACGAGACTTTTAATTCTGGGTAAACATGGAACCTAATTATGGGGCACCAGCACCAACGTGCTAGCTAGCCTAATGTGAGTAAATTGATTAATAGGGACGCATGGAGATTGAGGAACTTACAGCAACGAAAGGGTCTCTGCCAACAAGACCATAGACAAACCAGGAAGTGCCACATAGGAAGACAAACAGTGACAGGAAGAATGGCATGTACTCGACGCTCTTAGTTTTAATCACTGTCCTCTGCAGGTACAGACAAAATCACATATATAATCATCTTACAACAAATGCTCTCTATAGCTTATAATATCTTGTATGATATGATATTATCCTCTACATATGCTGTATCTCCCCTTCCATAGGAGAAAACGATGAAGAAGAAATCATTAACAGCCCAACGCCCTTTCACAGGCATGGCAACAAAATTAGTTTTCTAATTTTCTGGAGAAAGCAAACCATGTCCCAAACCACAGAAATTCAGCGGTAATTTATACATGCACAGCCAAAACTGTCATTAAAAAAAAAGTTAGCTTGTCAAATTAGAATCACAAGGAATATTATTTTCATTTCCAAAGGACAAAGGATTTGGCATCTCCCCAACTTGTTTACCTTATGCTACTTTATGCCTCCGTTTATTTATGCTACGTGGTGTTTTGTGTAATTTTATCTCAGCTATAAATATAAAAATATTTGATTAATGAATATAAATCATTGTTTTGCATGAATTTAATTTAAAACTATCTTTTTTAAAATCTTAGTTAAAAAACTATAATTTATAATTTTCTTTTTAATCTGTTTTGTTAAACCGCAAAAATAAAAACTATAGCAATGACAAACACAGACTTAGTCTGGTAATTTTCTTAATCCCAATAGATTATGACTAGTGAAGCACTGCAGAAGACAAATATCCTCTCTGTTTCTCTCACCAAGGACAATAATGTACCTTTCTAACGCAGACTACCATAGGAGATCGAGGAAAATTAGAATAATAAGTTGGATCCAATGCAGCAAGGAACTTTTAAGGATGGCGCAGCTAAAACAGAGCCATATATATATATATATATATTTCAAATCAACCAATCTTACAAATAAGCAAAAAGAACTTGTTATTAGTTGACAGAGCCAGACCAGAGTACTCTAAAATATATCACATAGTAGCGACTCCCTGATGACTTTATAAAAGGGCCTCACTGAGCAGCTAAAATGAACCCCGTGATGCGGTGGTCCAATAACTAAAACAAACCGGCTATGGAGCAACTCACACAAAAGAGTGAAGAACTTGACAGTAACTTGACTTACCATGATAGACAGCGGGGAGCCATACATGATAATAGAGAAAACAGCAGCAGCACAGCCACAGAATAGCTTCCTGGCGTTGCCATGAAGAGCAAAAAGGGACACCAAGGCCACGCCAGTAAAGATGGTGATCACAAGAGTGAGGAGGCCGAGGACTTTAGCCTTCTCTTTCTTTGGTGCATAGATGAGGAAGATCAACACATAGATGGTTTCAATTGCTGAGCCAGCTCCATTGATTGTTGACACCAAAACATTGTTCTTGGACACAAAAGGCAGTCCATACCTGCCACAAAGTATAAAAATTAACGATTAAGTAGTAGTGATTAGACAAAAATGCATGAACCCAAGAAAATAAAAGCTGCACCTGTCCAGTTTACCAAGCTTAATGAAACCTGATCACCTAAATCATCAATTAAAAAAGACATATATAAAAACAGCACCGTGCTTTGTTCGTTGTGTCCAATATATACCAAAATAGAGTAAATTAAGCCACAAAGCAATAGCAGACTGGGAAAAAAAAATAAAATTCATCGCACTGAATTGCATCTTCTAGGATTGGCTTCAAATGTATATCGTTTGAGGATGTACCGAAGGTGGCTATAATTGTTGTCTTTTAAGCTCATTGATGATGACAACCGAAAGCAGTTCATATTTAGCAGTTGGTTTACAAGAATACCCTTTTAAAGATGAACCGAAAATACAATTCAGCAGGTGTAATACACAAGAGCCAAGAAGTAAAGAGAGAAGAGGTGGTTGAAGAAACGAGAAGCACGCACCAAGCGGAAAGGAGGCAGTTGAGCAAGGTCATCACATACGGAATGCCAGAGAACTGCTCTGTGGATTTGCTTCTTATGATCCTCTTGAACGTTATCCTATAAACAAATTAGCCATAATCCACATCAACTTTATCCTATTCTAACAAATCAGGCAAGTTTTCATTTAATGATCATTGAATCTCGATCACCCAAATACTGAAATATATGAACAAAGTGGTAAAACTAGTAGCACCCCAAAACTGCAAAGGAAAAACAAGATAGAAGATCCAGCAAGTTAAAAAAGATCATAAGAAAAGAAGGATGGGTTTAGAAGAGAATCATTTTTCAAGAAAACGGCCGAAAGTTGAAGAAATTTAATCATGACTCAAAAGGCATTTTTATAGCCAGAGAGGAAGATAGTCTTTCTTGTCTTCCCCATGGACTGAAAACAGCCATTAGAAGCTACAAAGCGAACTTGTCAAAACCAAGAAACTCCATAAATGTCAATCAGGTGTTGTCGTGCATGTGTGTGCTAGTGTTGAACAGAGACAGAGATGGAGCTAACGAAAAGTTCTGGTGCATACGTTGGAGCCAAGAAGAGAAACAAAGCAGTGGCATTTCCTGGGGAAAGAAACAGAGAGAAACCATTGATTAGTCTCCTCAAAGAAAAAGAAGAAAACATCTTGTTCAGAAACAAGAAGAAGAAGAAAGAAAACCAAGTACAAAGGATAGTTAGATTGATGAAATTAAAAGAACCCACCAAAAACTCCAAACAAGAAATGCAGGACATCCATTATCTTCAACCTTGGAAACCTTGAAACTTCCAAAGGAGAGGAATCTTTTTAGCAGATGGAAATAATATATGCAGAGCAAGCCAGAAGCAATTGGTTTATATAGAACTGAAACAAGAAAATTACCACTGTAAAATTCTTTCCTTCCGTTCTCATCTCTTTACTTGCTAACTGACTTGCCCACTGGGGGAGATCCTGCGTGCTAGTTAACTGGCATCATAATGGCATTAGTTCATGTAGGGCGAAAGTGATGTGAGATTGGGTTAAAAAGTTGTTACGCAATAAAATTAATAAAACTTATTTTTTTTGTCTTTTATTCTGGAATAATAGCTTCTTTCAGATAATCACTCCTAATAATTCCGAGATGTCCGTATTACGCTTCAAAAGGCATTGCCATACTGGATAGCATTAGAAACCTTCCGCACCTTCTTCTTCTTCTTCTTCAAAACATAAGGGATTTGGGAGATAAATCACACGTTTGAAGCCGGTGTCTGCAGGCGGGGATAAGGTGAAGAAGGGCCTTAAGCATTTTATTTTTTGAAGGCGAGGATCATTTTAAGAAAAAAATAATTAAAATCACCGATTGTAACAAAGGAGGTAAATCTTAATTTGATTTCTTCGGGGCTTTTAAACCTGCTTAATATTATTAATATTATGATAATAATTATTTTTTAAAATATTTTTTATTTAAAAATATATCAAAATAATCCCTCAATTCTCACTGTGGCACAGCTGCAACTTCTTACACAACAGGTTACTATCTTACGTATCAAGATTTTGTGTGAGCTTTCATAAATTAATTAAGACGCAAAACGGTATTAAGAGGATAAAAGAAGGAAATATACACATGTAATAAACATGCACCGTGGCGTGAGTTAGCTGGGAGATGGTCACAGGTTGCAGTTACAAATGACGCGTGCTTGAGCCTCCACACAGTCTACCAGGCGCTATCTGCTCTGCCGACCCAAATGCTAAAAGAAACTAGCCCCTCTTCTCTGAGATATTTTATCTGTAAATCCACTCCTATTACTCTTGCAATAAATAAATTGCGTGCAATTATAAGATTTAATTGCGATTTGTCTCTTCTTCATGTAAAGGGTATCTTTGCCTCTAAGTCATGGTTTTAATTTGTGGGATCAAGAATTAACATTGATTCATTTAGTCTATCATCTTCTCAAGCCACTAATTTCTTGGTGTCCTATGCTGAAATTTTGTGTGCCGTGATCCGGCCTCTCTTGGACCTTGCCTGTCAAACCAAGCAATCTGCTTTGAAATTCAAATTGTCTGTAGCTCATACAACCTCGTGCACGAAAAACACTGGAGTATATTGCACAATAACACAACGAATTACCTCATAACGTTCCTTCATGGCGTTCTTGACTCCTGTCGTGGTGCTGTCTGACTTTTTGTTTTTTCTTTAAGATCGAGAGTTTCTAACGGTAACAGAAATCGTCATACTTCTGATTTTTTTTTTGCTGGTGGTAACACTATAATGGCTTAATGGTAATAACTCATATTGTTGTTGTGGAGTGTTTTTTTTTCTTTTTCTAAAACAAAATGCTTTCATGGATAGCACCAACCATTATCATTACGGGCAGAACTAGAATGTTGAAATTTGGGATGGCCACCGAAGAAAAGTAGAGATTAATGGATGTGGAATAGAATAAAGTGTGTGTGTGTGGATATATATATACTTGACATATTTTAAAAGGATAAATACATATTCACAATGAAGATTTCAAGTAATTTGGTTTGAATGTTCTTGTTTAGATATAAATGTGATGTATGAGATTTAAAGTCTATTTATGTTTGCATTTCAAATGTTTTTTTTTTAATTTTATATTCTTTTTATTTGCTTCAAATTAATTTTGTTAGTATTTTCAGATTGTTTTGATGTATTGATATCAAAAATAAATTTTAAAAATAAAAAAAATAATTACTACCACAATACAAAACGTGCTCGAGATTTTTTCTAATATACATTGTCTTGAGTCAGAAAAATTTAATGAATTTTACTTGACTTCATGTTTGAACTCATAAAAAAAGGAAAAAAGAAAAAGAAAAAAGAAGAAGCTAATCTTCTTATCCATCAAAAACTCATCACAGAGGGTTCGCAAAAGGGAATTTGGAAGAATGCCAGGCAAAAGTGATGTTTTCCCCTTAATTCAATTCAATCATTGAGCTTTTAATTAGTTATTGGTTACAATCATAACATCAATGTCATATTGCATACAACTAGTCGTTCTTCTAACTCATGCATTCAATGGATGTTTTATAAGGTAAAACAGTCGGTATGTTATTTTTTTTTAAATCCATTAAATATAATACTAATGAGTATGAGAATTAGTATTATTATTAATATCAGTATTGGTTAGTTCTCGTCTATATTCACTCGCAATATTAACATGAAGCTTTTGGCTTATGTTCCTGTATACATGTGCTATCAAGTAACAATATTTTAATCATTGTAAAAAGCAGAGATAAGATAATCAATGGACGAGACAGGCAAAGCTTCTTTTTCCCTTAGAAAGGTAAAAGCGAAGATACAATAATTGAGAGAATTGATGCTAAAAGGAGCAGTAAGAAACATCAATTGAGAGAAGTGATGTTCAATTAATTCAAGGACACATGATCAAAATAGCCAAGGAAAACAGCATATATCCACCCTAGCAATGCCGATTGAATGGGATATCTAATCATCAAAACAACAAATGTTTGCTTAAAGAATATATAGAACACAAGGGATCATACAGCTATGTATATAATCATGAACCCATAAATATCAATCCATTTGAAGCGTTGATCCATTTAAATCATTTTTTCACAAATTAAATTTTAAAACATCATCAGGTCTACATTGTCTTTTCATTCAATGTAGACATGATGATATTTTAAAATTTAATTTGCTCAGAAATAAGGTTTTTAAGTGTTTGCACAATGAGTAATTACATATTCATGTTAACATTTCTTTTTCTAAATCTCATGAAGTAGATGGTTAGTGGTAGAAGGCCTAATACCTGTAACACAATATCTTTTAGTAGGGTTTAAAGACCTTTAGATAATAAAGTCAATGAAATTGCAATAAATAAGAGAATGAGTTTTAAATTCTAAAAACAAGAGTATTTATTCTTGTTTTTGTATGATAAATGCTTAAAAATATAAATTATAAACCCTTTACATGGGTGGTTCATAGGGATATTTATAGCATTTGAACTTTGTCATATAGCTGGAATGGAGAGGTTGAAGAGTCATTTTCTCATGTTAGTAATAAGGATAAATATCCCTTACACAATATTAAATAAGAGACAATTATCCCTTACACCATATTGATGAGGGATAAATATCCCTTATATAATATTAATGGCAATGAAACCATAGAACACCCTTAGAAGATTTTTATAAACTTAAATGTGTAAAGAGATAAGTATTTTTGATATTAACTTTTTATGTTAAAAGTCATAATAATAAATAAACGAAGTCTTATAGCTCAACATGGGGCCTATAATGATCGCTAGACCCATATCCACTTAGAATTGACACTATACCAAACCTATGAGCGGTGGGTCTAATAGTTTGCTAGACCAATATTTGCTTGGACTCAGCACGTAGCTGGATCTATGGATGATGGATCTCATAACTTGATAGACCTATGTTTGTTTAGGCTCAGCACGTAGGTGAACGTAAAAATATTGAGTTTGGCAGCTCGTCAAGCCTATATGTACTTGGGTTTAGCGTGTAACTGACTTTAAGAATATTGGGTCAAACAGTTCATTGTCTACTTGGTCCCAACGTGTTGCTGAACCTAAGGATATTAGGCTTGGTAGTATGCCAAACTCATCTCTGTTTAGGTTTTGCGTGTAGCTGAACCAATGATATTGGGTTGGGCAGCTGGTTAGCCCCATATATAGTTGAGCTCAACGCTTATTTAAATTCAAGGATGTTAGGTATGAAAATTTACCAGATCCCTATCTATTTAGTCTCATTACATAGCTAAATTCAAAGATCTTGGGTTTAGCAGCTCGCTAGATCCATATATAATTAGGCTCAACGTGTAGCTAAACCCAATGATGTTGAATCTAGCAGCTCGCCAGCCCTATATGTACTTGGGTTCAACGTGTATATGAACCTAAGGATGTTGAGTATTACAACTCACTAGACCTCTATGTATTTAGGCTTAATATGCAGCTGAATAGAATGATGTTAGGTTTGACAGCTTGCTGGACCTACATATGTTTAGGCTTAACGTGTTGGGTCTGGCAACTCATAAACCTCATATGTGCTTGAGTTTAATGCGTAGCTGAACCTAAAAATATTAGCTCTGGAAACTTACCAGACCCATGTCTGTTTAGGTTAAGTGTGTAGTTGAATCCAAGAATATTGAGTTTAACAACTCGTTATTAGGTACTTAGGTTCAATGAGTAGCTGAAACCAAGGGTGTTGGGTTTACAAGCTTGCCAAACTCATATTTATTTGGGCTCAGTTAGTAGCTAAATACAAGGATGTTGGGTCTTGCAATTTGCCAAACTCATATATATATGTTGAACCAAAGATGTTAGGTCTAACAGCTAGTCAGATTCATATCTGTTTAGGCTTAGCACATAGTTGAACCCTATGACGTGGGGTTGGACAGCTTGTTAAACCCATATGTATTTGTTAGCTTGTCAAACCCATATGTATTTGTTTCAATGTATAGTTGAACCCAATGATATTAAGTATCGCCATTTGCGAGACTTATATTTGTTTGAGTTTAGTACATAGCTGAACTCAAGAATATTAGGTCTCACAGCTTATCATACCTATATTTGTTTGGACTTATGATTGAATTTGCTATATGTGCTTAGGTTAAATATGAACATAATAATACTATGCATGACAGCTTTCTAGATCTATGCCTGTTTGAACTATGGATTACAAACCCTGACGATTTGTTGCTTGTAAAGTTGTAAAGAGAATTTTAAGCATGTGCTCCTCTTTTACGAGAAACTAATACAGAGGAGATACACATCACATCTGAATTGATATTAGCATTCATTGAATGTGGGTTTACTAGGCTTTTGATAGAAATACGGGCAAAGATTGAACAG